TCCAAGGAGCAGCTGGTGAGCTTGAACCACTGACCTTGCAGTTCAAATGACTTTGCAGTCTGACGCATTAGCCCACAGCGCCACACCAGGACTCCTGGGTACCTCTAAGTTACCTAAGAAAAAAGAGTGCTTTGAGAAGTTCGGATTCAGGGTCAGGAGTACAGCATTAGTACCCTTTGTACACCTGAGGTCAGTGCTGTTTGGGGATTGGAATGGACCTACTTTGTGTTGTGCCATTTCCCCGGGCAAAGTGCTCATGGTACAGATGATGAAATCCAACCTCTGTCTGTGGCATTAATGGCATGAGCTGCTTCCCAGAGCAGTTATCTTAGAACAAGTAAACGTCATTGGGGAAACATTGGAAACACTCAGTGGGTACTGGGTGAAAGTAAAAAACAGGTGACCTTGCAGATGCCTTGAAGTTTTAAGATTGCCCCGTTCTATGGTAGAACTTACTAGAAGGTATTTTGTGACTCAAAAAGAAGATTTAGACATGCTTAATTCCTTAAGGAGCTCTGGTAGTGTAGTGGTTATGAGTCCAGCTGCTAACCTCAGCTAAGGTCAGCAGTTTGTTCTGCAGGAGAAAGATGAAGCTTTCTGCTTCTGTAAAGATGTACAGCCTCGGAAACCCCATGCAGGGTCGCTATGAGTCAGAACCGACTCCACAGCACACCACTCTCACCATCTTTACTCCTTATAGTTTCAAAAGTTATAAAAAGTTAACTGTGCTATATCTAAAATTCTAGGAGACGGTAGCGGATCAAGAGAAAGGAAGAAGAGTGTTAATGAATTCCCATGCTGCACTTCAGAATGGGACCTTTTTCACGATCACACCTAAAAAAAATCCTGTCTTTATATGCCTGTTACAAATGAGTTGCTACATTCAAGAGAATATATTCATTTGTACTATTTCTATATAAAGACTTTTTAATGCTGAGGCATAATGCAAAATATGTGTATCTTAAGTATATGGATGACATTCAAATAATGAAAACGAAGATGCCAAAGAAGTTTTAATGAAACGTGCTTGGCAGAGGCCATTTCAACGGAGTAATTTCTTTGACTTTAGACTTGTACTCATATATGATTTTATGTATGACAAAGAAAATAGTTTATTAAAATACATCTTCATGGTGGACTGTTTAAAATCTAGTAATAAATGTGACAATAATATTTTAAATATCTTAATGTTAAAATATTTCATAAAAACAACTAGAAATAATATCAGAAAACAGTATATTAGACATGACATGACTATATTTCCTTTGGAGGCCTGGTGTGGTGCTGTGGGATAAAGCACTGGACCACAAGGTCAGTTTGAATCACAGGATCAGCGGTTCAATCTCACCGGCTGCTCCTTGGAAACCACAGAGAGGGTTGCTATGAGTCAGAGCCGCCTCCACGACACTACAAACAACAGCAACAATCTATTTCCTTTGAAGTTGAGTATATACCAACATGTTCATTGGTTTCTGTTCAAAAATAGTGATTTATTTATTGGGAATATTGAAATGAATTATGTACAGAATATATACAAAAATATACATGCACACAAATGTAAAATTATCCACTTTGTAATTGTAACTTTTAAATTTGGGTCATTACATAAAAATGAGCTCTAGAACGCCTGTCTTTCACGATTGAGCAGCTTCCTGTTTCTACAGGGCTTCCTGTAAAAGCAAACGAAGCTGCTTTTGCTCGTCTTTCACCGGAGATGTCCACTTCCTCTTCAAGTACTGGACATCAATGTCCCCAGAGGTTCTGGCCAGCACCAGGGCAAGGAAGCTGCTGCTGGTCTTTTCAGGTTCACCCATTACAGTCATCGTCACCAGCCTAAAACAAGAGAGGTCAGAGAGATGTCAGCGAAGTGGACATACATGGAACTTTGCATTATTTTGGATTTTCTAAAGGATCCATCTTCCAAGTGAGGCATGAAATGGAAGAGATATTCCACAATGGTTTAATAACAGTCTCGATGACAAGCTAGACCAGAAATGAGTGTATAAAAAGCTATAGAAAATTGTTTTTAAAACCTATTTCTGCACTTTAGAGGTTTGCTGACTGATAGCTTTGTGATGGTAATTGTAAGGATGAATTGCTCTCAGACAATTGTGATGGAATATGAAGTCATTCTCTGAAGATGGAAGGATAATACTCTCTCACCTTTCAGTTCAAGAGTAAATAGCTTCTCAACTGTGAATTTTTAAGCTTGAGAATGTCAGAAGAACTCAACAATTCAGGCTCTCTCTGATAAACACACTTGATTGTTCACATCTTGGTCTCCAGCAGTTTATCCTCTGTCCTACCCACTCCTTCTCATGAGGTGAGCTCACCCACACCCATGTCTTCGGTTAAATGTCAACACACTCAAATCTGTCTCCTGTTTAGACTTAGTTCCAGACCACATGTTCAACATCCTGTTATACTTTTCCTCTTGAATATACTACAGGCAAGTCAAGACTTACTTTTCAGCTGTAAAAGCTTTCCTGTACCTCCCTTCTGCTGAAGGGCAACTCTACCCATGCACAGAAGCGCCCACAGAGAAACTCAGGAGTCATCCTGGATACCTCTATGTACACTGGGGGTTCAAAAAGTTCGTAGACAATTTCTATTATCTTCCCATTCCCTTTTCCCATGAACTTTTTGAAGCCCCCTCATTATTTTAATCTTTCACCCCGTCAATTGTCTAGTCAATTCTGTTTCCTAGTTCTTCTCCCCCTAAACTACTATCACCATAGCTCAGGCCTTCATCATTATGTCTGATCTCTTAACAGTTTCTGACCAGTCTCTTTGTCTCTATTCTATCCCCTTCATAATGCTGACACCAAGACTTTGAAAACTCCTGCTGTTAAGAGCCACTGAGTAGCTTCCCATTCATAGTGACCCTCTATATGATTTCTGAGGAGCGAATGGTGGTTTTGAACCGTCTACCTTTAGGTTAGGAGTCCAGTGCTTATCCTACAGCACCATACCAGGACTCTCAATTTTTAACTCATCCCTACTTAAATTCCTTGTACACTCCTATTACCACTAGGAAAATGTCTTTTTTATATGGTATATAAAGTTCTCCATGCCTTGAACTCAACATTAAATCCCAATTCTTATACTTCTATTTCCAACCATTGCACAGAGCAGCGGCTCCCGGACTGGCCAGGCTCCCCTTACCACCATAGCGTGGAGGGGCAGCAACCTCTTCTCAGAACACTCCTCCTCATCGGATTCTATTTAGTAAGAGACAGCTTAGTGTCATCACCTCCAGGACCTTCTCACAACCCATTTGTTGTTTTTAAGTGCTGTTGAGTTGGTTCTGACTCATGTTCCGACCCTGTATAGGGTTTCCAAGGAGCAGCTGGTGAGCTTGAACCACAGTCCTTGCAATTCAAACCAACCTTGCAGTTCAGCTTATTAACCTGCGGTGCCACACCATGACCCCTTGCCTATCCCTAATTTGGGTCAGTATTCCCATACATCCTGGGAATATCTCCATCTTAGCACAGATTACATGATCCCCCTCAGGAGAAATGATATTGAAACACAATGCCTACCTCAATGCCCACCACTTTGCCTTCCTTGTCTTATTCTAAAACAAGTAAAGACATCTGGTGTCAAGCATTGGCAGGCACTGACAGATTTTTGGTGGGATCAGCGACTGCGAGCAGGGCAGAAGAAGTGAGCCCCCTCAAAGGGCATGGCAGTGAGAAAGCTGAAAGTGACAGGGGGGAGGAGTCACCAGTGCCCACAAGAGCCCGAGTGCTACGAATCTTCTACAATCTAAAATGATAAACTCTCTTCCTATAGTCTAAATAGCTACACTAACTCCTAGAACTACGTGTTAAGAAAAACAGAACATGAAGACAATCACAAATTTTAAAGTCTCCTAAAATAAAGAATGGACTCTACTTTTACAAATAATAAAATAATTCAGCACTTTCTATGTCACATCACTTCTTTAAGTTTTGAAAGAATGCCTCATGAGGGACCTGGGAGAGCAGGCACCTAAGCAGACTTGACAGGCCACCAAGACAATTACCAGACAGAACAGAAGCAAGGGCACTACAAACTTGTCCAGCACACACTAACCTGACAGGTACAGGTTAGGCCAAAGCTGCATCTGGGAGATGGCTCGATTCTGAGAAGTGAAAACAATTTAGCTGACCAAGTCCCCAGTGATGCAGTTCATATAAACAGATATTTTCCCTATACCTACCTGTGAGCGACTTGCAATGAGAAGTTAGAGCATTATTGAGGGGGAGAGTGAGAATGCATGTGGCGCTGCAGGACTGCTAACTGTGAGGTCAGCAGTTCAAACTCACCAGTCACTCCTCAGAAACCCTACAGAGAGTCAATATGAGTCACAATCGACTCGATGGCACTTAACAACACCAACAGACAACTAAAGGAACACACCATGAAAAATTAAAAGTCGTCAGAATGTTCACCAGCTGCTTAGTGCTTTAATACTGCTGTTCAATTGTAAAAATATAAGCAAAGTTTAATTGTCACAAACCCAACAACATCAGTAATGGTGATAAAACATTAATGGAGCTCCTGGCATCAGGGCTGTGAAATTGAGCTTGGTGGGCGGAGGATGAATATAGTTCACTGACAAAGCATGCCTAGAATAAAAATAACATTCAAAATAGATGCATAAACACTGGTTAGTGTAAACTTCTAAACACGGTCTTCAGATTTGTAAGTTCGACCAAATTCAAGAGGGCAGCAAACAAAAACAAAATTTGGGGTTCAGTATTCTACTCATATCCACACACACATTATAAACAACTACTATTTTGGCCATAAAGGAATTCTAGAGATGCTGCGGCCCTCTCATTCTCCAGCATGCTACCATCTCCCCTGCTTCAAGGCCACAGGGAAACAGCTTCTTAGTTGTTACCATGAATTTTACCTGAATTCTAAAAGTGGTAAATTCTCCTTCTATCTAAACTAAACTTCTTGGGTTATTTTTAAATTTTATTATATTCTTCATGTTCTGTTTTTCTTTATGCTTAGAAAAAAATAATTCAACGCTTTCTATATAGCATCACTTCGTTAATTTATCCACTGTTGATAGAAACTGAAACGGGAGGTGACCTTTTTGAAAAATGTAATATTATTAGATCGTTTCCAAACGCCTTTTCTATCACAGGTGCTACACAAGCTCTTCCTCCTGCTCTGAGGGCCTCAGCACAGCTGCCGGCTTCTTCCTCCAGTGAAGGAATGTCCCTCTCACCGACCCATAGCACTCTCTTCCTTAGCCGTAATTCCTCACTGTTCACCACTTTAGGGCAAAGATCAGGTTCTTGGTCAGAGACTGGTGTTATAGTTCCTAATACACACTTTATTTTATGTAAAGTGACCACAATAAGAATGAAGTTAAACTACTTAAGGGCACTTAGCTATTCTGAATTATGTACCAGCAGCTTGATAAAAATGTAAGACTGGGCATGCCATTCCTCTGTTTAATACCCTCCAATAGAAAGCTGGCATGGCACTGCAGGATGAGGCACTGGACCACCATGTCAGTTTGAACCACAAGGTCAGAGGTTCAGACTCACCAGTCACTCCTCTGAAACCCTATATAGGGCTGTGATGAGTCAGAAATGTCTCAGTGGCACTTAATAACAACATAGCTGGTGTGGATAATGCACTGGACCACAAGGCCGGTTTGAACCACAAGGTCAGCAGTTCAAATCCACCAGCTGCTCCTTGGAAATCTTAAATAGGATCGCTATGAGTTGGGACCAATTAGACAGCACTTAACAACAATAAATACATCCCAGCTGACTCAGAATATAACCCCATACGTCCAACGACCTGTTGTTGTTGTTGTTGTTGTTGTTAAGCGCTGTCAAGTTGATCCCGACTCATAGCAACCCTGTACAGGATTTCCAAGAAACAGCTGGTGAGTTTGAACCACTGATCTTATACATCTATACACCTGATCCTCTTCGCATTCCCCAGCAGGCACACTCCCACTACTCTGCCTAGAATGCAGGTATTCCCCTGATACCCACATGGCTGGACTTCTCATTTCCATCAAGTCTTTGCTTTCTCATCAAGACCTTCCTAGGCTGCACACCACCCCCACCACTATCTCTATTTCATTTTTCTCCATGACACACATATTAATATTTATGACTTCCTTATTTCTCATCTTACCTTACTAGAAAGTATATATAAAGTAGGTGTTTTTCTCTCTCGGCTCAATACTATATCTCTAGACCTAGAATTGTGCCAAGATTATTATTGCTCTTGTTGTTAAGTGCCACCCATCCAGTTGGCTGCGACTCATAGCCACCCTGCATAAAGTTTCCGAGGAGCAGCTGGTAGGTTTGAACCTCCAACCTTGCAGTTAGAAGTCCAGTGCTTATAATACAATCTCACACCAGGACCCTATTGCCAGGCATATTGTTGTTGTTAAGTGCTGTTGAATTGATTCTGACTCATAGCAACCCTGTATAAGGTTTCTAAGGAGTGGATGGTGAGTTTGAACTGCTCGCCGACCTTCAAATGTTGGGTTGATTCAAACCAACCCACATTAACCCACAGTGCCACACCAGGCATATAGTACATGCTTAATAAGTACTTGCTTATTAATTAATTGATTTACAAATAAACTTTTTAGAATCATCTACTGTATGCAGTATGTGAAAGTTGGACAATGAAAAAGGAAGATGGTAGAATTGATGCATTTAAGTTATGGTGCTGGAGAAGGATACTGAAAGTACAATGGACCTCAAACACAAGCAGGTCTATGTTGAAGGACTGCAGTCAGAATGCTCCTTAGAGACCAGAATGGTGAGACTTCATCTCTCATACTTTGGACATGTTGTTAGGAGAGATCAGTCCCTAGAGAAGGGCATTATGCTTCGTAGAGTGGAGGGTCAGCAAAGGAGAAAAAGACCCCAGCAAGATGGATTGGCATGGTGGCAGCTGCAATGGGCTCAAGTATAACATTCATTGGGAGGATGACACAGGACTGGGCAGTGTTTTGTCCTGCTGTTGTGCATAAGGTTGCTATGAGTTGGAATTGACTCAATGGCATTTAACAACAACAACAGGCAGTATGTATCTACATACAGACCATAGTCTGTTGTAGTTTTTTTAATAATTAGAAAAATGTAAGTACTTGAATTTAATAATTGCAATTCTTTATTTTCAGACTTAGTTTATTCCTAAGATTCTATCAAATATTATGTGTTTTTAATATTTTTAACCTCATTTTTAGGTGGTTAATAGATGAATAGACACACCAAGGTCAAGAGAACATGTTTCACAGTTTTATGAATATTTTTACTTTCATTTTAAGCCAAACAACAAAGATAATGAATTATTTTAATCCTATGAGTAATAATATACATGTCTTAAATTCATATTGAATAATTTCACATTATTAATCATAAGTACTGATTGGAGGGGCTTGAGCAAAGAAGTTAAGTTCTTCGTTTCCACATATCTCTTTTAGAAAACATGAGGGAACGGAGGCATAGGCTGAATGGCCATGGGAAGAAGAGTGGGATATATATTTCCATATCCCACAAATTTAAAAGCGTTTGAAAGAGGATATTTGTATATGGGTAGCCATAGGGAGGAAGCGGGACAACTGTTGTTTCAGGGAGGGATTGCAATCAATGAAATAGATGAAACAAAATGTAGGATTTGTTGAATGTATGCACACTGATGAGTTTGTCTGTAAACCTTCACTTAATTCACAATCATTTTTTTTTAAAAAGGAATAGTTTATTCATCACTCTGACATATACTGAATTTATGAAGCTGGCAAACAATCATAATTAAGATGCTGACAAAAAGTCTCTCCTTACACTTACTGAATGAAAATGATGGGGAAATACATATTACAGTATAAATTCTTTAATGTAATAGACATTTGGACTAAGTATTAAAAGACAAGGAGAACTGACTAAGGGTAATCTATACTCTAATATATATTTTTAAATGTTAATTTTGAATTAATGTTAATTTTCACTTTAATTTTACTTATAAATGATTTGAATATGATTCCAGAAGTCTCATTTTCTGCTTTAGTTACATTAGAAATAAAACAGTTGAGGAGAACTTGATTTAATACCATTATTCGAAAGGACAACTCTCCCACCCACCTGAGCCAGGCAGCAATCCCTCCATTTCCATTACTATATGGAGAGGTAGTAGGCATCTGACCCTATTCCCACCTGCAAAGATACCCAGTTGCCTTTCGAACTGGCTGAGAGCACAGAGTATCTTGCCAAATGAACAACTATATTCTCATTTCCCTAATTGAAAGTGCTGCAGAGATTGCTGCAGATGTACTTGGCTGAAATCAAGCCAAGAGAAAAATTAAAACAAAATGAAATCCAGGGACCCCTTTGTGAGGTCTCAGGATGGAAACAGGAGCTGATGGAATCTCCTTACATAAGCTGCAAATTCTCAACGGCTCCTGGTGAAGTAAGAAAATCGCAGCAGCTCAGCCCCACAGTGACTGGAGTTCTGCCCCTTTCCAGGCGCCAGTGCTATTTAAAGCCTACAGTTGCTTCTGGGGATTATCAGAGCTGCAGCAGCAACCTCAGGAAAACAATCAAAACGTGGCTTTCTGGGCTCTCAGAAACCACCCAACCCTGCTTACCTCTCTACAGCAGGGCACCCAAAGGAGCAAAAGAACCTTGAGGTTCTTATACACACCACCCACTTCTAATAGGGCCTTTCCCTGTGGACTTAATGCTCACCATGAGTCTAGAATAGAGCCAGGTCGCCTCTTCCTTTTCAGTGTTCTTTTCCGCTGGTATTTTCTTCTGCCAAATCAATCTTGTTCCCAGCCTGACCCTTAGGAAAACTTCACCTTAGCTATAAAGGCAATTTCAGGGCTAAATCTCTGGGAACTTGGCAAATTAAACATTTAAATAACCTTACTCCTGGTGTGGAGTCCTGGTGTGGTGGCACTGTGGGCTAATGCATCAGACTGCAAAGTTGTTTGAACTGCAAGGTTGGTGGTTCAAGCTTACCAGCTGGCTCCTTGGAAACCCTATACAGGGTCGCTACGGGTCAGAATTGACTCGACGGCACTTTACAACAACAACTCCTGGTGTGGAGTCCTGGTGTGGCGTTGTGGATTAATGTGCCAGACTGCAAAGCCGTTTGAACTGCAAGATTGGCAGTTCAAGCTCACCAGTTACTCCTTGGAAACCCTATGTAGGGTTGCTATGGGTCAGAACCAACTCAATGGCACTTAACAACAACAGCAACTCCTGATATGGCGTGATAGGGTCAGCACTGGGCTTCAGACCACAAGGCTGGCAGTTCAAACCCACCAGCTGCTCCTCAGAAACCCTATACAGAGTCACTATGAGTTGAAAATGAGTCAACAGCACTTAACAACAACAAAGGGGTTGGTTCAGTAGTGTCAAAGTGAGGGCAAATTTACATAACATTAAAGGGCATGTAGGAGAAGTCCTGGTGTGGCACTCTAGGATAAGCACTGGACTGCTAACCACAAGGTTGACAGTTCAAACTCACAAAGCGACTGCTCCTGGGAAACCCTATATAGGGTTGCTGTGAGTCAGAACTGACTCAATGGCACTTAATAACAGCAAGTACAAAACCAAGTGAGAGAAAGCAACAGACATAGTTTCTATAATAATTAAAAGCTAAAAAGTTTTTAATTACATGAAGAAATCCTAGAGCTAAGAACTACACATTAAAAAAAAAAAAGACAAAGCAGTGTAAAAGAAAAGGATCCCTAAAGAGTTTCTATAATACAATAGTAGTCTATAATGACATGGAAATAACTTATTATAACTGTGCACTCACTGAATGACTAAGACATTCTATGAATGACCTGTGAATCTTCTAAAGCTATAATGTCTGATTTATTTTTAACTTGGGACTTTCTCTCCCTGAGGTAAATTCAAATGAAAAGCCTTTATCCAACTTGAAATTCTGGTATGTATCTATTATCCAAGTGATTTGGGAGACAGTATATCATCATATACCATATAAACTGACACTAGACAAGAAAAAGGGTGGGGGTATAGTTATTGTCTAGAAACAAAATGCAAGCAGTCAGACTCCATTCCAATTTAATACGGCCTAACCGTTTTATAAATGAAGAAGAAAAGACCATCAATGATGCTTCTGTAAAACATGACCCATGACAGCTCACTCTGAGTTTCATCAGACTTACTTGTCTGGAGAGATGGGTTGTCTGGCCACAGGGCCCAAATCACTTTCCAGTAGATCCCAAATATAAATACTAGATGTGTCATCCTGGACCAAAAACACAGCAGGTCTTGTTAATGACCACCGTAAGCTGCTAATGGCTTGGCCGTTGGTGCTGTTATTCCACTGCATGAGAGGATACTCGGAAGTCAGCTGATGTAACCTAATGCTGCCATCTGAACAGCCAGCCTATACCACAGGGAGAAAGAGAAATTGTTGATTATTTATTTTTTCTTCTTTTTAAAAATGTTTAAAGTATTTTTTTATCCTAACTTTATTTTTATCATTGCAGCCAGGAAGATACTTTATAGCATTACTTTTCTTTGATTTGTATAGCAAAAGCATTTGGTTTCCTGAACATAAAATTGTAACATTAAATCTATCCTTACCAATTACATAAATCTGGGATTCTGACACAAAGGAGCTTCAAAAAGTTCATGGAAAAATTCCATTATCTCCTCATTCCACTTTCCCATGAATTTTTTGAAACCCCTTTCACAACCACCCAAAATGGATGATAATCAATTCAGCAATTAAATAAATAGGAATTTATTTGTAATGAATTTGGTTATTGCTGATTGAAGCACAAGTTGTTAAGATCAGACCTGCCTTTTAAAAAATACTGTACATTTGTATTAATTATCAATGGACTGTGAACCCCAAGGTCAATGGTTACAGCCAATCGGCTGTTCCACAGGACAAAGATGAAGCCTTCTGCTCCTGCAAAGATTTACAGCCTTAGAAATCCTATACAGAGTGGCTATGAGTCAGACAGAACCAACTCGATGGCACTTATACAATAACAACATATTCCCCTTAGGTTGAAATTTCCATAAAGCAAAACTTGGGCTTACTCAAAACAGAAATTTAAGCTCACATAGGGGGCATGAGTTCATTTTAACGAGGGAAAACAACTCAGAAAAGGATGATGAAGATGGTTGCATAACTCAAAGAATATAATAAATGCCCATTAATTACACATGTAAAAATGGTTACATTAGTGTATTTCTGCTGTATATATACTCAACACTTAAAATTAGTTTAAAAATCCAGCTTAGAAAGAAAAGCTTAATTCTTTCCTATTCAATATAGTTAATCCTTCACATAGTTAAAAAAAATAAAATAAAATAAAATCAACAAGAATGGAATAAAATCTTAAAATGAAGCACAAACAGAATGTTTTAAACTGCACTACAAATGAATTAGATAACCACACAGATGGGAAGAGGGACAGAACCAACTCAAGTACTTTCAACACAATATTTGAACTTTTTGCCTTCAGACTAAAAAAAAAAAAAAATTAAATATTAGGCTTAATGGGTTTCTGGGATATTATATGCTTATTAAGGACATTATAGAGACAAATCATGGAATTTAAATCAGATCTATAGATAATAGAATTACACTAATGTTATGATGACTTTATTGTAGCTATGTAAGAGAATGTTCTTGTTTATAGAAAACAAACACTGGATTATTTAGGGATACAGCATCATGCTTACAACTTCCTCTTCAAACAGTTAAAAATATATATGCATACACAAATCCCACCGCATACACAGAGAGAGAGAGAGAGAGAGAGAAAGAAAGATAAAGCAAATGTGATAAATGTGTAACGTGGAACATTCAGATAAAGAGAATAAGGGAATTCAAGTCAAATTCTGTCCAAAATAAAAAGTTGAAAGATTCAACTTTAATAACCTTGTAAAATGATTTGTACTGATTCTTCAGATACTACTTTAAGGAAATTAAGGTGTAAAGTCCTTACAGGCAGTTCTTTTAGTACCAAAGATTTATGTGTTACTCTCTTATATCTAGAGTTACAATGGCAACACTGATTTATTAAAGGACACAGACAGAGATTTCCAGAAATGGGCCCTGGAGATCACTGTGGTATCCTCCCAGATGCCTGAGGTTCCCCTGACCTGTCCAGAGCTTCCTTGGGAGGCATAACTGCTTTTCTGCAATTTGGAGGAATAGGTCTAGGCTCTGGGGTTATGCATTCAAATCCTTTGGGAGAACATCTCGGTTCTTTTAGGGCACCTTTCATAAAATAAAGTATTTTCTGATACACATGTGGACAACAAATGTGAGCCACATCTGCAATTTAAATTCTTCTAGTAACCTCATTAAAAAGGAAAAAGAAGCAACTGAAAGTGATTTTAATAATAGATGCTATTTAATCTAAATATATCCAAATATCGTATCAACAATCAATAAAAATACTACTTTAAATTTGTCTAGTAACTGCATTATAAAAGGACAAAGAAGCAAGCGAAAGTGATTTTAATAATATATTCTATTTAATCTAAATATATCCAATATTTTTATATATAATATAATATAAATATATCCAAATAGCATCATATCAAAAATAAAAATACTACTTTAAATTTTTCTAGTAACTGCATTAAAAAAGGAAAAAGCAAGTGAAAGTGATTTTAATAGTATGTTCGATTTAACCTAAATATATCCAAATATCATCATTATATCAACAATCAATAAAAATACAGCTGAGATATTTTAGATTATTTCATTTATTCTTCAAAATCCAGTGTGCATTTTATGCTTATCAAAACCAAAAACCAAACAGTGCCATCAAGTCGATTCCAACTCACTGCTACCCTAGACATGGTTTCAGAGGTGCTAACTCTTTAGAGAAGCATAATCTGGACAACGATGTTTCGTACGTGCTGCAATCAATGAAGGCGCCCTGGTGGTAAAGCAGTTCTCCACCAGGTTGTTACCTGAAAGGTGGGCTCAGAGCAACCAGCTGACAGGAAGACATGGCAGTCTGCCTCTGTAAAGCACAGTCTTGGAGCCCACAGAGCAGCTCCACTCTGTACTATTATGGCGATAGGAAGTGAAACTGACACGGCAGCAGCGGGTTTGTTTTGGGGGCTTCAAGTGCTGGTGTGACGCTTTAGGATGAGCACTGACTGCTAAGCGCACAGTTGGCGTTTCAAACCCACCAGCCACTCCATGGGACTCTCTGTGAGTCAGAAACAACTCTATGGCACTTAACAACAATAAGAAGCACCGCAAGAGAAGTATGAATAAACGATCACAGAAGCAAAGAGCAAAGAACAACTATTCGTTCAGTCTGAAGTACAGGGAAATTTACAAGTGTGCCATGTGAGTTGTAATGCGATGCTTTAATTCTGGTCTAGCTCTCACCAGTTAACTATTGGATTTAATCATATGTAACATTTTAAAATATTTTGCCTTCTCCCTTCTCTCACAACCAACTGATCTATGAACATTTCTTCTAGGATGCCCCCCAAGGACTTTATAAGTCTTTTAAGAAACCAACCCACTGCCACCCAGTCTATTTGGGCTCATAACAATCCTATAGGGCAGAGTAGAACTATCCCCAAAGGTTTACAAGACTGTAAATAGTTTCAGGAGCAGACAGTCTCATCACTCCCATGGAGCACCTGTTGGGTTCGAACCACCAACCTTCCAGCTAGCAGCCTGCAGCGTTGTGAATTATTCCAGGTGGCTCTCCTACTCATAATCCTTGTAACTCCCAACAAATAGCGCTTTTTTTCCCCCGATGGGTTTTGGGTAAGAGAAGGTGGGAGAAGATGCTGATAGAATAGGATTCAGTTAAGAATGGTCATTAACAGAGGTAATTGGGATTGTGAAAACTTGGAACTGTAACATGGGTGTAAAATGAGCCATCTCGTTAGCACAGGGAGGATCTCATTATCATCAAGAAGGGCCAGCTGTGGAGAACATCATTTGAACCCTGAGATGCCTTTGCATTGAACCTCTGAGACCCAGTCACAGAAGCTGTGACACTGGAGAAGGAGTGGAGGAAGAGCAGCAGAACCAAGAGCCACTTGGAGCAAAGGAAGCTGAGAGCCTTTGTGCAGGAGGCTTGCTCTTCAGAGTGGGATGCCTCCAAGCACTTAATTGGGGAGTTAGGTTTGCTGGCACAGGGATCTAGAGCTGAGTGCCTTTGGGCTGAGGATTATAAAGGAGTGGAATATCCTTTGGACATTTATCAGTATTCCTAAGAGAACTCTGTAACACTGCCTAAGCAGGGCCAGGCTAAGAGCCGAGGGCTGGAAAGAGAGAGACCTACATGGGGGCACGGCCAAGAAGAGGATGTCCTGACCGAAGACATGTGTCCTGAGCATTTCTGATCCTGCACTGTAACCTGCCAACTTCCCTAATAAACCCCATAACTGTATGATGCCTGCGTTCTGTGTGAGTAGAGTGCCCTGGGAGGGATGGCTTAGTGAACGATTTTCACCCAGCGCAAAGCTTATCCCGCTGCACTACCAGGGCTCCTTTTTAAAGAAAGGTCCTCTGACAACCCCTAGTCCCCCACTAGGTGTCTCTACAGACGGTACACTTGAGCTTCTGAATCGTGATTCTTTCTTGATATCACAAACCAGTGTGTCTTTATATGAGAAGCTTCCTGCTTTAAAAATCCATAGGCTGACTTCAAGGCAAGTGGTCAGGTCCCCTCAGTGCAAACCCCCTTCCAAGACTAAGATTCAATGGGAATACACGCTGTGATTGGTGACCACGCTTGACACCGAAAAGGGGAAGTGAGGGAAAAACAGCATTGAAGTGGTGAGCTAAGCCCTACAACGTTCAATAGACTTCTGTGAACCCGGGTGACGACCTGGTTGGCCAGCAGTGTGTTAAGACCTGGGGACTCTTGGGCCCAGAGTCAGTGACATAGCCACAGAGGACTAGAGTGGAGAGTGAAGCATCCAGCTGATAAGAAGAGAGGGCATATGCATAAGAACACCCACACTTGCAGATAATACCCACTTATCCTGGCTTCAGTGACTAGATGATCAGAGCTCAACCAGAAGTAAAAAGAAGAGGGGGAAAAAAAAAAAAGTATTCTCATACAATTTGATGAACTTGACCTACACCTATGGAAGCAGTAGCTCAAAAGAGGGAACAAGTTCTTACAGCAAGAATCATTCCCACCCCCTCCACACACAGAGTAGACAGGGATGGGCAACTTAGACATTGGCTACCCAAAATGGGGGGTGGGGGGCTACAAAGGCAAGAAGTGACTGGCTTACAAGCTTTCAAGAGGGAACCTAGATCCAGAGGGCCTGGAGGAAGATAGAATCTCCAGTGAGTAGTATTCAGTCTGACTAGGCGGGGCTGATGCAATGAAATGCAGACAGGTCTCTTGTGATACAATAGTGAATAATTGTTATCAGGACTGATTGTGAGGGTCAGAAATGTAAAGGTAGACATTTTATAGCAAGGAGGGGAGTGATTAACTTTTCAGTCTAGGAGCGGAGGTCCCTAGGACCATCAAAGGAGAAGAGCAGAGAGCGGGACCCTACCCAGAGAAGCAGTGATACCTGAAATGGAGGTAGAGATGATGATGTGGAGCGATGAAGCAGCTGGAGACTTTAGATGCAGAGAGGGAGAGCGACTGTGTGCTGAAGACCTGGGGAGCACGGGGGAAAGATTGCAGGGTATACCCTTTGGTTGGTTGATGATGCATGGAGGGGATTGTAACCATGGCAATGAGACGATATATGATAGAATGAACGTAAAACTAATGTTCTCCCATGTAAACTATCACATAATTCACAATAAAACATTTAAGAAAAAAAAGAAAGTCCATAGGCTGAGAAAACATGACAACTGATTTAGAGTGAAGTAGAAGATAGCAAGGAAGACACACCCATGAAGATGATGTTCCCTGAAACATCTCTGCTCCACCTCAGTGAGGAGCCGGGAGGTCCTGACAGGCCCCACAGTCTTTCTCTACAGAGAAGATAATACTAATAAAAAACATACTTCTTCACTGAGTTTTGCTATATCACAAGTTGTAATATCTTAGGCATTAGGCTGCAGGACTGGTGGTTCACACCCATGAGCTGCTATACTAGAAGACGATGACGCTGTCTGCTCCCATAAGGCTTTCCAGTCTCAGAAACCCTCAATAGTGTCGCTATGAGTCAGAGCTGACTCTACGGTAGTGGGGTGTTTTTGTGTGGGGGTGGGGGTGGGTGGGAGGGTTTATTCCTCTATTGGGAACCCTGCTGGTGCAGTGGATTAAGTGCTGGGCTGCTAGTCAAAAGATGGGTTGTTTGACTCTTTCCTCAGGATGAGGCTGTCTGTTTCGGTAAAGATTCACAGCTTTGGAAACCCTGTATAGCAGCTCTATTCTATAGCATCACTATGAGGTTTGGTTTCTTTTTACTGTGGTTGTTTTCATCTTATTTTAATTTCTAAATAGTTTACAATTATACAAAGTCCTACTTGAGAGAGTGAAAACTTCTATCTAGTTACGTTTTAGGTGATTTTAAAAATATTTTGTTATTAATTTCATGTTTCTACATTTTAGACCACTGAAGTCTAATTAATTATCAATTTGTGGTCTAATGTGTGATCAGCATTTAGTTCAGTAGATAGTGATCTACTGCAAGTGTTATGCACTGTCCAACTAAGCAAATATCATTTACTTTCTTACCAAGAATATCGGTTCTCCAAACGGTGAAAAATCAATCACATTAACTTTTACTGGTCTTACACCATGTTGTTGGGGTTTGAACAATTTAGGAGACACTCTCAGATCTTGTCTTGCTCCGTGACTTATAAGACCCTAAGAAGAAGAAGACCAACGGTGACTATAAGACTGAATAAAGCTACATTCTTGAAACAATTTAAACTATATATAAGGAAATCAAAGACTCAGTTAATCTTCAATGAAGCTATAGGTCAGCCAACTCTATGAAACAATAATGAGGTCCAGAATGAAACTTAAAATATTACTCACCAGGTCTGTGCCAACAATAAAATGATTAGGATCTGAAGGCAGAAACTTCACATTCAGTGTTTGTGCTGTCCCCCAAAATGCATGATCTTTATGGGAAAGACTGAAAAGAAACGCGAACATGAGCAGATGGATTGTTCTGAGACTTTAAGGTTAATGGCAATTGTTGTTGTTATGTGCCTTGGAGTCGGTTCCAACTCATAGAGACCCTGTACAGGGTTTCCGAGGCTATAAATCTTTACGGGAGCAGAACACCTCATGTTTCTCCTGTGGAGTTTCAGACTGCTGACTCTGAGGATAGCAGCCCGATTCGTAACCACTACGCTACCGTAGCTCCTTTAATGGCAATACTGGACAATTATTTAGCAATTAGTATGCATATTATTAAGGTGCTCTGGTAGCGTAGTGGTTACAAATCGGACTGCTAACCTCAAGATCGGCAGTTCGAAACTATCAGCCGTTTCGTGGGAGAAAGATGAGGCTTTCTGCTCCTGTAAAGATTTACAGCCTTGGAAACCCTGTATAGAGTCGCTATGAGTCAAAACCGACTCCACAGTACTTAATAACAACAACAACATGCATATCATTAGATGTCTAATACACCAGTGGCATCACTAGAGGGTGAGGACCATACCTCTTGACACTGTCAAAATCTGTGCCTTCAGTTAAAACCCTCCAAAATCTGTGCCTTCAGTTAAAACCCTTCTATGGAGCCAACTGACTCCCGGACATCTCCATGAAAACCTCAAGTTCAACCCATCCTAAATTGAACCATATCCGACACAACCCAGAACTCCTTCAACAAACCTGTTTTCCTCTTATACAACTTTGTATGTCACTGGTACTCAGTGAGCAAATGAGACAGCTCCTCTCAATCACTCCTACAATTAGTCAGTCACCAAGCTATTTCAGCTGTAACCCTTCACGGCACACGCCTCTCCATGCCCACTCTGACTGCCTTAGTTTAGACTCTCACTTTTCATACAGATTACTACAATAGCCTCCTATCTGGTCACCCGAACTCAAATTTCCTTTCCTCTGTTCTGTACACACATTGTTGCCAATTTGATCCTTCTAAATCATGTTTAAAGTATGTCATTTCTTGGCTTAAAAGCTTTTAATGGCTCTCTATCATCTAAAGAGGAAGACCCCCAGCGAAATGGATTGGCAAAGTGGCAGCACCAATGGGCTCAAGGGCGGGAACAATTGTGAGGTTGGCCCAGGATCGGGCAGTGTTTCGTTCTGTTGTGCATAGGGTCGCTTGTTGGCACCTAACAACAACATCATCTTCAAGATAACACTGAAACTCAAGGTAGCACAGCAAACAAGACTCTTCAGGGTCTGCTCTCTGACTCATTCCGCATCTCTCTTGACATCAAACTTACTGGCCATTTCCTTAATGCATCATGCATTCTCATATATACTGAAGTCAGTTGCCATTGAGTGAAAACCAGCTCCTGGTTTCTTTCGAAGCACCAGTGGGTGGACTTGAACCTCCAACCTTCTGGCTAACAACTGAGTGTTTCACTGTTTGTACCCCCAGAGACCTTTCATACATACTAGCCCACTGCTGTTGCATCAATTCTGACTCATAGAAACCCTATAGGACAGAATAGAACTGCTTCATAAGGTTTTCAATGAGTAAGTCTATACAGAAGCTGACAGCTTCATCTTTTTCCTGTGGAACGGCTGGTGGGTTCCAACTGCCAAGCTTTTGGTTAGCAATCCAACGCTTAACCACTGCACCACAAGGGTTCCTTCAGACATACTGTTGTAGTTAGGTGCCCATGAGGTGATTCGATTCATAACAACCCTACGTATCACAGAAGAAACATTGCTCGCCCTGTGCTATCTCATAATCACTGTTACCTTTGAGCCCATTGTCACAGACACAATTTGGTTGTTTTTTATGTGCCGTGGAGTCAGTTCTGACTCATAGTGACCCTGAATAAATCTTTATGGGAGCAGAAAGCCTCATCTTTCACCCAGGGAACCGCTGGTCATTTCAAACCATAGGCCATGAGATTAGAAGCCCAACATGTAACCACTAAGCTACCAGAGTTCCTTGCAGACCTACAGGCCTTCATATATACTGTTCCCTCTGACTAGAACATTCTCCTTGGTCTAACTCATGTCTTTCAAAGACTCAACTTAGGTTTCACTCTCTAATAAGCCACCGTTTCACTTCACGGCCCCTGTCCCAACCTGTGCCCTCCTTTGAGCCCTACTCTGATAGCATAGTGGTTACAAATCGGGCTGCTAATGTCACAGTCAGCAGTTCAAAATTACCAGCTGTTCCGCAGGAGAAAGATGAGACTTTTTGTTCCCATAAAGATTTACAGCCTCGGAAACCCTGTACAGGGTTGTTATGAGTTGGAACCAACTTCACGGCACATCACCACAACAAGTAATACCTCTCTCACAGCTCTGAATCAGTAAAATATGGCAACACTGTAATTGTAGCAGACATAGACATGCAACACCCAGATTCCCGTACTTCAGTGAAATACTTGTTTTCTGAGATCCAGGAAGGCTAAGAGTACCTTCAGTTGTCAGCCTTTACTTCAGCTGTGGAGAGCTATTTTACCCAATGTAATACCTCTGCAGAGGGAGGCAACATTCAATGACTGGTCAAAGAGAGAGAGAGAGAGTAAAGGCCTGGCCACTAGCCCAGAATTCACTGGACATCAGAGGTTACTGTTGAGCTCCTCTTTCTGCACAATTCTGCTTCCTTCCACATTTTCACAGACGCAGATACCAAGAGAACTCCTAAAAAAACATCCTGCACACTCAATTCCATTTCAGATTTCTTTGTTTGAAATTCTGGAACCCTACCTACGACAATCATCATGTTTTATAGTTCTGCCTCCTCATAGGAGTTCCTTGAGGGAAGAGACATTATTCGGAGCTCAAAGCTGGCACAGAATCAATACATTTGTTGAATAAATGACCTGTGAACATGTATTATGCACAGATCTAGGGAATACACTGCCAGGACTTCATTTTTGAATGGGGTTGGGGAACGGATTGCAGATACACTACTCTCCTATAGGGAGTGGACTATAAAGTCTAAGGCACAATTACTGATCTCTCTCTGTCCACAACACGGAAGACTGAACAACATCGAAGACATATGGGAACAATTAACACAAAATACAAATGGGCCATGCAGACCTCTACAACCCTGAGAACAGAAGTCGAGTGTCCAGCTACCTTTACCGACCACTCTGAAAGAGACTACAATAAAAAATCCTGGATAGAATGGGACAAAATGTCAGACAAAACTCAAAACAAACAAACAAAACTAGTGACCAGGCTCACCAGTCAGATAGAGACTGGTGGAATGTCCGAGACTAACACTCAGCACTCTTCAAGACTGGAACAGAACTCACCTCCTCGGATCAACTTTCAGCCAAGCATTAGACAGATTTACATGGTGAACAAGAACACACCAGGAAGCACAAACTCCTTAGAACAATCAAGCATTCGAGATCAAAAGGGCAGCATTTGCCCAGAGGCAAAGTTGAAAAGGCAAGAAGGGACAGAAAAGAAGGATGAATGGAAATGGGAAATACAGGAGGAAGGGAGAAGAGTGTGGTCACATTGAAGGGACCACAACCAATGTCACCAAACAAAATGTGTGTAAGTTGTTGAATGGAAAACAAATTTGCTCTGTAAACTTTCACCCAAACTACAATAAAAAGTTTTAAAAAGTACTGTACAATAAAGTACAGGGGGGAAAAAAATCATAGCTTAAAAAAACTAGTGTAAAATGGCCATGAAGGAGATTAAAACAACAACAAAAAAAAAACTAGTCTGAAAGACATCCAATGACGAAATGGAATCAGGAAGTCAGACTATGACTCATCAAGAAAATCCATTTGACTCCATCATACACTGGATGATTTTCAACAAACATAACTGATTCACTGTCGTAATTCTATTTAAACCAATAGAAGTTTATTTTAAATTTCTGAGTATATCTAATTCATTATCTACAACCCACCGATGTCCTGCGTGATGATGAGAAGTCAGGTTAAAACCAGTTTTTCATACACAATTTACATGTTGATAGTTAACCATACACAGTAGTAAATGATAACAAGCAAGATCTTTAGGCAATAAATTAACAAGTAATATATCAATATCATAAATGAGAGTAATACATGTATTAAGATTTTTGTCATTAAATTACATGACTAAAAGCAGACATCAAAATTAATTAATTACCATGTTAATGCTTCTGGTTCCTGAAAATGATGCAATTTTAGCTTCCATACTATATTAAAAATGCATAAAAAATAAGTAAACAGTATCAACTTATAGGAGTTCTGGTGTGGTGTTATAGGATAAGCATGGACTGCTAATTACAATGTTGATGGTTGAAACCTACCAGCTGCTTCTCAGCAACCCTATACTGGGTCCCTATGAGTCAGAACTGAAGGAGCTCTGGTAGCGTAGTGGTTACAAATCGGGCTGTGAACCTGAGGGACAGCAGTTCGAAACTACCAGCTGTTCCATGGGAGATAGATGAGGCTTTCTGCTCCCGTAAATATTTACAGCCTTGGAAACCCTGTTACAGGGTCACTATGAGTCGGAACCGACTCCACGGCACATAACAACAACATGAGTCAGAATTGACTCAACAGCACTTAACAACAACAATCCATTTAAAATATAGAAATTATTAAAGAACAAAATAATGTTGGCTTTACACTTGAATGTTTCATGTACTATACTGACTCAATAATAAACTACAGCGTGGTTATGAATCAGGCTGTGAGCCACAAGGTCAGCAGTTTGAAACTACCAGCGGTTCCGCGGGAGAAAGATGAGGCGGTCTGCTCCCGTAAAGATTTACAGCCTCGGAAACCCTCTGTAGGGTCGCTATGAGTCAGAACCAACTCCAGGGCACATAACAACAACAATAATAAACTAATCAAATAGCAAAAATTACAATATGAAAAACAGCTATGTTCACTCCCCAAAACTGCTAATGTATTTATTGTATGTACAATTACCTAATGTGATCTTCCTCTTGTGAGAAACTGAGTTTTGTAAGATCAAGGAAATTGCTTTAGCATATTCAAAATATAGTCTTACCTGTTATTCAACTGTATCACAGAGCTATGTACTAATTTTATCCTCCCTCCAGGTAGTAAACCTAAAAATAGATAAACCGAAAATAAAGGCACGTCCAAATAAAATTCTTAAATCAATATCTAATTACAGTTGCCTGGAATCATCTTGCATTGCTTTAGGAAATTTCCTGTTTCAGAAAATGGCACTGTAATGTAAACCAACAAAACAGTTGTTGTTGTTAAGTGCCATTGAGATGGATCCAACCCATAGAGACCCTGTATAGGGTTTACGAGGAGCAACTGGTGAGCTTGAGCCAGTGACCTTGCACATTCACCCACAGTGCCACACCAGGACTCCAATTGCTTGGGTGAGGTTCATGTAAATGGATTCAGGATAAGAATTAAGGATTTTCAGTTCAGAGTCTTATGAGAAAAAACATTAGTAGAAGCAAAATCCAGGAACCTTTTTATATTTTTAGATTTGTTCAAATAAAACAATAATTAACACACCTTAAATTTACAACAGCAAATACTTTGCAAGTGTCCATCTATGCTCTTTAGTTAATCAGAAACATTTCAGGCTTTCCCTCCCGCAATGTCAAAAGCACACTTAGGAATGCATTCATTTGGCTTTGCTGCAGAATACCCACTGATGTTTGCTGGCTCACCACCATTTCAAACAAAAAGCTCTCAACCACATTTTCTATCTCACGATAGCCAGGCAGATATTGCTGGAGTCCTGGCGTGGTGCTGAGGATTAAGGCACTGGATTGCAAGGTCAATCTGAACTGCAAGGTCGGCGGTTCAAGTTCACTAGCCACTCCTTGAAGCCCTATACAGAGTCACCATGAGTTGGAACTGACTCGACGGCACTAAACAACAAAAACAACATGTTGTTGATGATGTTCTTAGATGCCATAGAGTCAGTGCCAACTCATGTACAACAGAATGAACCACTGTCCTGTCCCGTGCCATCCTCACAATGGCGGTTAACGCTTGAGTCTATTATTGCTGACACTGTGTCAGTCCACCCTGTTGGGGTCTTCTGCTCTCTTGCAGACCCTCCACTTTTCCAAGCATGATAATATATCCAAAGTATGAGAGATGAGGTTTTGCCATCCTCGCTTCTAAGGAACATTCTGGCTACATTTCTTCCTAGAAAAATGTGTTTGTTCTTCTGGAAGTCTATGGTACTTTCATCTTTCTTCTTCAATACCGTAATTCGAATACATTGATACTTCTGCAGTCCTCCTTATTCATTGTCCAGCTTTCACATGCATATGAGGTGACTGAACATAGCATGGCTTGTTTCAGAAACACCTTAGTCCTCAAATTTTACATCGTCGCTCTGTAACACTTTAAAGAGGTCTTGTTCAGCAGATCTGCCTAATGTAATATGTCCTTTTATTATTTCTTGACTGTTGCTTCCATGAGCATTGATTGTGGATTCAAGCAAAATTAAGTCTTTGACAACTTCAATCTTTTCTCTGTTTATCATGATGTTATTATTGGCCAACGTGTGAGGATTTCTGTTTTCTTTACACTAAGGTGCAAAGCATACTTAAGGCTGTGATTTCTGATCTTCATCAGTTAAGTATTTCAGGTCCTCTTCGCTTTCAGCAAGTGAGGTTGCATCATCTGTATAAAACTCTCTCCAATCCTGCTGCCACATTCTTCTGCATGCAATTTTCGGGATTATTTGCTCAATATACAGATTGAATAAGTATAGGGAAAGGATTCAACCCTGATGCATACCTTTCTTGATTTTAAACTATTCTGTATCTCCTTGCTATGTTATGTTCTTGGTCTAGGCAGAGGTTCCTCAAGAGCACAATTAAGTAGTCTGGGATACCCATTCTTCACAATGTTATCCATAGTTTGTTATATCTACACATTTGAATGCCTTTGCCTAGTCAACAAAGCAAGGAGCTCTGGTAGCGTAGTGGTTACGACTCGGGCTGTGAACCGCAAGGTCAGCAGTTCGAAACTACCAGCTGCTCCGCGGGAGAAAGATGAGGCTTTCTACTCCCGTAAAGATTTACACCCTCGGAAACCCTGTACAGGGTCGCTATGAGTCGGTTCCGACTCCACGGCACATAACAACAACAACAACAGTCAACAAAGCACAAACAAGTAAGCATCTTTCTGATAGTCTCTGCTTTCGGCCAAGATTCATCTAATGTCAGCAATGATAACCTTTGTTACACATCATTTTCTGAATCCAGCTTGAATTTCTGGCAGCTCCCTGCTGACGTACTGTTGCAATGGTTTTTCACTTATCTCCAGCAAAATATTACTTGGATGTGATATTAATATTTAATCTTGGGTCTCTTCCAACCAACTGATCAAGTAACTAAGCTGTCTTGCATACTTCTTGACACAGATTAGTGAGCAGCCCCAGTGCTGTGTCAGTTTGTATTCTATCAATTCCTGGAGACTTGTCTTTCTCCAATGCCTTCCGGAGTGCTTGGACTTCTTTCTTCAATACCATCCATTCTTGATCACATGGCACTACTTGAAATGACTGAACATCAATCAATTCTTTATGGTACAGTGACTGTATATTTCCTCCATCTTCTACAAGGTCAACGGTTCAAATTCACTAGCTGCTACTCAGAAACCCTATACAGGAAGTGACTTAAAGGCACGTAACAACAACAACATCATAGGGTAAAGTAACTCCTTAGAGCAATCAACATTATGATATCCAAAGGGCAGCATCTGCCCTGGGTTAAGCCTCAAAGTTTAGAAATAGATTGGAAAGAAGGACAAAAGAAAATGGTAAACACAGTAAAGAAGTGAAAACAGAGCTGTCACATTGTGAGTACTAGAATCAATGTCACGAAACAAAACGTGTATGAATTGTTGAATGGAAAACCAATGTACTCTATAAACCTTCACTGAAATCACAATGGTGGTGGTGGCTGTGTGCCATCGAGTCTTTTCTGACTCATAGCGACCCTCTATAGGGCTTCTGAGGCTATAAATCTTTTGGGGAGCAGAAAGCTGCATCTTCCTCTTGGAGATTGGCTGGTCGATTCAGTTGCTGGCCTTGCAACCGCTTCCCTACCAGGGATCTTTCAAATCACATTAAGAAGTTTAAATTAAAAAAAAAGAAATGTACAGACATAGATGGAGCATATGCTGAGAAACAATACCTTCACATTTTGATATTTTAAATATAGGTGCAGAGTTGTAAGTTATTTGATGTCTCTTCTAGTAATAATCTTTGTAAACTCCTACCAATGGACCTTTTCCTGATTGGTTTGGGTAAGAAGAGGTGAGGAAAGATGCAACTGGATTATCTGATTCAACTTGGAGTGACTGTCTGTGAGTGGTCAATCTTGCCATCCTGTTGGGTATAAAATGAGCCATCTCAGAAGTAGAAAAGGGATCTCACTAACATCAAAGAAGAAGGATCAAGAGTGGATCCATGTGCACGGAACCTCCTCACCCAAGGACAGAAAGCTGTGGCACTGCAGGAGTGGCAGAGGAGCAGCAACAGCCGGAGCACAAGTCAGAGCTGTGCGCATCCCAGCCCCCAGAGTAAGCACAGTGAGTGACTTTGGGCAGGAGGCTTGCTTGCACAGTAGGGGAGCTGTGCCTTCAGGCTAAGGCTTAGGGTTATGGTGGAGTGATGTGTCCTGCGGGCACTCATCAGAAGCCCTAAAATAGCTTTGTAACAGTGCCTAGGCAGAGAAAGAGGTCTGCCTTTGAATACAGCTGAGGAGAGGCTCTCCTGACTGGAAGAATTGTGCCCTGAACATTTCTGACCTTGAACTGTAACCTGTTAACTTTCCTAATAAACCCCATAACTGTGAGTGTGGTGTCTGAGTTCTGTGTGACCACTAAAATGAATGATTGAACTCAGCTGAGTACAGAGATGAATGAGGAATGAGCGATGACATAAATTTTGTAAAAAGGTGTCTATGATTCTGCAGCAATAAAGTTTAGCTTACGTTTGTATATTGAAAAAGGCACGGGAATTACAAATTTCATTAACTGATAATTTAATAGAACAGAATGACATACAGAATGTGTAAACCTGACTCAATGAACACAACCTGTTTATTAGAATATAACTTGATCATTCTACTAACTGAGATGCCTCTTCAATAGTTGAGGTTATATAACAAACAACTTTAAAGCTCATGTTTCAACTAGCTAATTCAAATGTTTAAATATGGAGTCCTGGTGTGGTGCTGTGGACTACTGCGTCAGACTGCAAAGTCGTTTGAACTGCAAGGTCGGTGGTTCAAGGTCACCAGATGCTTCCTTGGAAACCCTATACAGGATTGCTATGGGTCGGAATCCAGGCAACGGCATTTAACAACAACAACAACAATTTAAATATTTCCAAAGCAATTATTATTGTCTTTCACCTCTATTCATTTTAGAAAACATCAACCAAACTTAACTTTTTAATTTAATAGTTACCTAGGTCACTCACTGAACCTGCCATGTCCACTTTTGGTAATTCAACAACCACCTAAAAACAGGATATTGATGATGCATATTAATACACTTTATAATTATGAAACAATCTAAGCAAAGCACAGATCTAATTAAGATAGTGTACTATCTTGGCTAGTATTTAGTTCTAAAAATAAAATTGCTTCAGAAAAAAGAAACTGAACATTAACTTTAGAAATAACATTTTAAATGCTATTAATGCCAATCTCTTGATTTCTTTTTACAGTCTCTTCACCCAATGACTTCATCAATAGTCAGTTTCTATTATCTATGATGATTCTACCTAACATTATTCTGTAGCCCTAACATTGTGTTAAAATTTTCATTATATTCCCCAAATCCAACATGTGTAAAATTTTGAATCCACTCTCTCCACACACAAACTAGTAAATTCAGTCTTTATTCTTGATTTTCATATTTTAGTTAAATGTATCATTGTCCTATTCTTTTCCTCTTCCATCCCTCTCCCTCCAATTCGGGCAATTATCTCTGACTTAGATTACAGAAAAGTTAACTGATCAAAAGAGACCATGTATTCAATTCAATGTTCCACCTTCCATCTACAAATTGAATCACATCTTTACTTACCCATACATTAAGGACTCCACTTTCATCCAAGGAAGCAATGTGGAATGACAAACCTGATGATTCTAATGAAAACAGGAAAAAAAATTAGAAAGAAATATTTTATACATAAGAAACCATATTTAATAATTATGGATTTAAGAATTTTTGAAAATTGTGAAGTATCTGCGTACCTTCCTGAGAAGAAAAAGGTGAAAGTACAAAGTTCTGTTTTCTGTAGATAGATGTTGAGACAGGTTCTATCGCTTGAAGAGGACTTCGGTGATTTACAGATGTAAGGATACCATCTATATTTAAAAACAACAGTGCCCCACAAATAATAAGTCATAAAAATGAAATTGAGTGTATAAATGGGCAAATGCAAAGGTTTTTCTGGGTCTGAAGGAGAACAACAGTCCCCTGGGTCCATATCTTCCCACACAACCTCCCCTAAAACCACACGACCAATATAGAACACAGATAAATGGGATGTGACCATCACCTTCAGCATCAGCAGGAAACACAGAAAACCACAAACCTCAAAATGCCTGTAAAAAGAAAACCAGACATCAACTTCCAACAAATCTTCCGCTATCACTTCAAGTCTACAGTAAGAACAGGGTATGAAAAAGAAGAGAATAGAGCTAATATTTAAAGAGAATACAGCTAAGATTTAAACTCAGACCAAAATACCCTCAGAAAGAAAAATCCATCTCCCAGTGAAAGCCTACTGAACACAGGTCTCAACTTGGTAGATCACTTACCAGCTGCAGGAAAGAGACTGGAAAAATCAACGGATTCTGAACTGGCAGTTTTAGGGAATTATAACTGAGGGGGAAGATGTGCTGAGGTGTGACTGTTTTTTGAAAGCTAAAATGGTCACATATTATAGAATTGTTGTTGCTGTCAAGTCCCATCGAGTTGGTATTGACTCATAGCAACCCTGTATAGGGTTTCCAAGGAGTGACTGGTGGGTTTCAACCACCACCCTTGTAGTTAGCAGTCTGATGCTTATCCTATAATCTATAACAGGACTCTAATATAGGAGCACCAGACTGCTAACTACAAGCTCACCAGCTGCTCCTTGGAAATCCTATACAGGGTCGCTACGGGTTGGAATCAACTCAACAGCACTTAACAACAACAACAACAACATTATAGAGTATAAGGATATAAATAGAATCAAAGACTAGAAAGAAAAGGTACACTTTAGCTATGGTCTCAGATTAGGAAAGAATGAGCAAAAGAGACATTGAAGGACATCATATAATGATTAAAGGGAATTGAACAGAAGGATATAACCATACTATGTATCTACACACCCAATGAAAGAGCCTCAAAATACATAAATCAAAATTTAACAGAATTGAAAAGAGAAATACACAACTTCACAATCACACTTGTTATAGGTAGTTATTAAATGCCGTTGAGCTAGTCCAACTCATAGCAACCCTATGTAGGGTTTCCAATGAGTAACTGATGGATTTGAACTGCCAACCTTGTGGTTCAAAATGACCTTGCAGTCCAGTGTTTTATCCTACGATTTTTTTAATTTGACTCTCTCAATGAAGGACAGAATTAGAAAGAAACTCAACAAAGACATAGAAAAACTAAACTAACTAGACTTCATAGGTATATGCAGAACTGTCCACCCAACTACAGTACAGTATGCATTGTATTCCAGCGTACATGGGACATTCTCCAGATTAGACCATATGTTAGGTCACAAAGTTAGCCTCAATAAATTAAAAACCACTGAAATACTACAAAGCCTAGTCTTAGATCACAATTAGAAATTAGAAATCAACAAACAAAAATTATCAAGGAATATCAAGGACAAAAATTAAACACTTGGAAACGGATAACACCCAGTTTAAAAACTATTGGGTAATAGAATGAAGAAGAAATTAAAATTCAAAATTCCCTGTATCAAATGGGAATGAAAGCACAATATACCAAAACCTTTGGGACACGGCATAAGCAATGCTCAGAAAGCAATCTATAGCAATAAAAGAGCATATGAGAAAGAAGGACCAAAATCTATACCTTAAGCCAATGTCTCCAACAATTAGGAAAAGAACAGCAATTTGAAACAAACAAACAAAACCCGCCTACAGTCACCAAAAGAATAAAGATTAGAGCAGAAATACACAGAAAAATAATAGTCCAACAAGACTAGAAGTTGGTTCTTAGAAAGAATTAACACAACGGTCAAACCACTGGCCATTTTTAACAAAGGAAGAGAAGATGATATAGATTACAAAATGAAGCACAACAAAGCCAATTGAAATAAAAAGTATAGCAGATTACTATGAAGAACTGTACTCAAAGCAAATTTGGAAACCTAGAAGAAATAAACAAAATGACAAAGGAGCTCTGTTAGCGTAGTGCTTGCAAATCTGTCTACGACCCTTAAGGTCAGCAGTTCCAAACTACCAGCCGGACCATGGGAGAAAGATGAGGCTTTCTGCTCCCATAAAGATTTACAGCCTCAGAAACCCTGTACAGGGTTGCTATGGGTTGGAACCGACTCCACAGCACTTAACAACAACAACAACCCAAACTAACACAATCTCAGACAGAAAATCTGTACTGACCCATCACAAAAGAAGATAATGAAAAGGTCATCAACCAATCCCCAACAACAAAAACAGAATCCTGGCCCAGACAGCTTCGCTGCTGAATTTTACCAAGCATTTAGAGAAGAGCTAATAGCCATGCCTCAAAATTCTCCAGAACATAGAAAACAATAAAATACTCTTGAACTTGTTCTATAAAGTGAGTACAACCCTGACACCAAAACAAAAAAAAAGCTAAGACATCACTAAAATTAATATAGAGAGACAAATAACCCTTATGAATGTAGATGCAATTTAGTAGAATACAACAGCATAACAAAACAAAACAAAAAAAATAGTATCAAGTGAGATTCATACCAGGTATACAAATATGGTTCAGCATGACAAAATCAACGTAATCCATTGCATAAATAAAACAAAAGAACCATATGATTGACGCAAAAAAAAAGGCATTTGACAAAATCAAGCACCCTTTCTTGTTAAAAAAAAAGCTTGGAAAGAGGAATAGATGGGAAATTCCTGGACATAATTAAGGGCATGTACACAAAATGGCCAACAATAATTTGAATAGCAAGAGACTGAAAACATTCTCCTAGTGAACAGGAGAATTTTAACAAATGGTGCTGGCAAAACTGGATATTCATTTGCAGAAAAATGAACAGGATCCCTATCTCTCATCATATACAAAAACTAACTCAAGATGGATCAAAGACCTAAATGTAAAAGTTCAAACTATAAAGGTCATCAAAAAATAACTGGGGCAAACTTAGGGCCCTAACATATGGCATAAATACACTAACAAACATATCTAAAAACACACAAACAGCAGAAGACAGACTTGAAGACTGGCTTTCCTAAATATTAAATATTTATGTGCATGAAAAGACTTCGCCAAAAGTGTAAAAAGAGAACCTATAAACTGGGGGGAAATTTTGGCAATGACATATCATCAGAGAAGGGACTAATGTTTAAAATTTACAGAATACTCCACAGCAAAGAAACAATCCACTTACAAAAATGGGCAGAGGACGTGAGTAGACACTTCACCAAAGAAGATCAACAAGGTCAACGAGCACATGAAGAAATGCTCACAAATATCCACCATTACAGAAACGCAAATCAAAACAATCAATGAGATATCATCTAGCATTAACAGTGAGCTTTTTTTAAAAAAGCATAAAACAACAACTGCTGGCAAGGGTCTCGAGAGATTGGAACCTGAAGACACTGTTAGTGGGACTGTAAAATGGTGCAAGCACTGTGGAAAATGACATAGCACTTATTAGAAAAACTGAAAATACAGATACCATAAGATTCAGCAATCCACTACTACATATACAAAATCCTAGAGAAACAAGAACTGTGATACAAAAAGATCCATGCACACCTGTATTCATCAAAGCACTATTTTCAACAGCAAAAAGATGGAAACAAACTAAGTGCCTGTCAATGGAGAAACAAACTATGGTCCATACATAAAATAGAATGCTATGAAAATCGCAGAATTATGATAAATCTGTGAAACATCAAATAAACATGGATGAATCTAGAGGACATGATGTGGAGTGAAATCAGTGAATCATAAAAGGATAAATAAAGGGTTGTTGTTGTTGTTGTTGTTAAGTGCCTTCGAAATAAAGGGTTGTTGTTGTTGTTAAGTGCCGTCGAGTCATTTCCAACCCATAGCGACCCTGTACAGGGTTTCCAAGGCTGTAAATCTTTACGGGAGCAGACCGCCTCATCTTTCTCCCGCGGAACAGCTGGTAGTTTCGAACTGCTGGCCTTAAGGTTCGCAGCCCGATTCGTAACCATTACGCTACCAGAGTAGACATGTATTAAGTTGGGTGTAGGGAAAGGCAATATTCAAGGAGGAGGTTAACACAAAATAATGATGGCAAAGGAAGACACTGAGAGAAGCACGAGAGTTAAAGACAACAAAGGCAAATAAGCACTACTGCATAGCCAATCCTGCAACAACAGTCACAGTGATGATCGCTGCGTGAATACCTGGACACTTGAACAAAGGTGGAAGGCAAATGGCACTATGCCCCAAAACAGATATAGGTATGACAGAAGATAATTCTATTTATGTAGTAAATATATTGGATTATACATGTAAGCACTGGATTGCTAACAGCAAGGTTTAACCCCTCAACGCTCCTCGAAAACACTATACAAGATCGCTATGAGTCAGAACCAACTCAACAGCACATAACAGCAACAAATAAATCATAAATACAGTAATGCATACAGGGGGCAAAGTTATGAAAATTCCTTAGCCATAACCAAAAACTTTGAGAGAATGAGTCACTGGGTCTCAGGAGACTATGGTATAACATAGTCCACAAAGACAATGTTCTACATCCTACTTTGGTGAGCAGCAACTAGGGTTTTAAAAACCTGTGAGCAGCCATCTAAATGTAACTATTGGACTCTCCCTGGCAGAGCAAATAAGAGTAATGAAAATTTAAAATGAACAGAAACACTGATTCCAAAGGACTAATGGACGAAGAGAATGCCAGCTTCTAGGAAATGGACAACAGAACTAGATGGTGCCCAGCTACCACAACTGACTATTCTTAAAGGGATCACAATAGGACGTCCTGTATAGAAGTGGAACAAAACTCAAAACCATAAAAAAGAACAGGGTTGGTGGCCCTTAGTATCCTTCCAGGCTTGGAACTGAACTCACCCCACCATGGTTCAACTTCCAGCCAAATGATAGAGCAGCCTATAAGGTCAACAATAACACCAGGGAGGTACATGTTTCTTAGAATAATCAACCATATGAAATCCGAAGGGCTGCATTTATCCAAGGATAACACTCAGAAGACAGGAAGAACAGGAAAGACGGATGAATAGAACTGGAAACACAAGGAGGTAGTGGGAAGAGTGTTGTTATTACACTGTGGAGACTGCAATCAAAATGTGTCTGGACTGTTGAATGGAAAACCAAATAGCTCTGTCAACTTTCAACCAAAACACAATAAAACGTTTTAGAAAGAAGACTTATCTCAGTGAAGTTTTGAAGGAGTCCATACATATAAAAGAAAGAAAATTTAAATCATTTTTGTCACTGGGTAAGTGTTATTTGATGGATTTCTGTTTTGTTTCATTTACAAGTGACTCTTTTGGAACTAGACATAGGTTAGATCTCCATTCAATGACAGAATCTAACTTAATAAATGCAAAATAAATATAAAACATTCTAAAATCTGCCATGGCTCTTCCAGAAGACATAAAATCATATCATCAGAAGATAGCACTAACCGGTAGAAAAAGTTGATGTCCTGAATGTCCAAAAATCATCATTCAGCTTCACATAATGATGGATTCTAGAGTCTTCTCTTAAATCCCACACAACCACAGAGCCATGCACTGTTCCAGCAAACAGCAAAAATGCTTTGAAAGGGCTAAAGCAGCAACATGTGACCTAAACACACACACAAACAAAGGATTCTGATAACTAAAAATTATTAGAACTATGTTCATAGAAGTTGAGTTCACTGAATTTGGTACCAGGGGGCTTCAAAGAGTTCATGGAAAAATGAGACTGAAAGTCAATGGAATTCTTCCACAAACTTTTTAAAGTTGCCTCATGTTTGATCCCTTTTCATTTTGCATTTGTAGTCAGAAAAAAAAAAAAAAAACGTCCTGGTGGTGCAATGGGTAAGCCCTCAGCTGCTAACCGAGAGTTTGATAGTTCAAACTCACCCAGAAGCTCTGCAGGAGAAGGACCTGATGATCTGCTCTCAAAGAGATTTAAAACCAACCACATCACTGCTAGTGACTCTACAGCACAGAATACAACTGTCCCATTGGCCTTCCAAGGCTGTCAATCTTTACAGAAGCAGACTATCACATCGTTCTCCCAGGACTGCTGGTGGATTCGAACCACCTACCTGTGATTAGCACTTAACCACTGTGCCACCAGAGTTGGTGGTACTGTAGGATAAGTACTGGACTGCTAACCACAAGGTCAGTGGTTCAAGCCTGCCAGCCACTTTGTGGGAGAGAGGTGAGTCTGTCAGCTTTCGTACAGATTTACAGCCTCAGAACGGCACATAACAAAAACAAACAAAATCCATTAACCAATTCTAAATTGATCTAAGAGGTTGTTCTAGGATAATCAGTTTCCTCAATCAGGCACTAGATAAATTAATCTAAGAGGATCTTTTTGAACTAGTAATTTCTAGAGACAAAAGAAATATATCCATGTGTTTCTTGTCACAAATGCAGCATTAATTATGACTGTATATTAAAAACACTACCTATGTTTTGTAGCCCTCTCTAAGTCTCTGTCTTCATCTGTGCCTATTCCTTTTCTTCCTTTCTACTCTGTACAATGGTCAGTACACCCCTGACACTGTGTCCCATTGTGTCTTCTTTCCATTAAATGTGTGATTCTCCTCCTGAATTATACCTTTGATTCGCATATCAAAATCTTCTGTGGACTTGAAGGTTGCCAAATATCCCAAACACAGAGGATGTATCTTCCATCCAATTGATTTGAAAAAGGCTTTCCAGGTAAATCATGAACAGAAACTATGGTCTGCCTCTGAACTTGAGAGGCATGTAGGCAAAATACTTTTCGATCTAGAGATATAAAAAAAAGACAAAATTGCATTTTGCTGATCCACCAGAATCTATGTAAAATTAACATTCCTAAGAGCATTCAGATACATTTCAGTTGATGAAGCAACAACCAAGATGTCTTCAAAATCGTACACAGATGAAGTCTGGGTTTTGACAAACGGCCTGTGTGTATCTGAAAATGCTGTTAGAGTCGGCTCAGCTAAGAAGAAATCCTTCCGTTTTGGTAACCATGCTGCCCAAGACAATGAACTTTCCTTTTGTCTCCTAGCTGCTCACATAAAGACCCAATTACCTAAACATGTATTCTGGAGTCAGAATTTTAGAGCTAGAGACATACTGGAAATAATCTCATTTGACCCCTTTGGTTGAATAAATTATGAAGACATTAATTCAAGGAAATTCAATTCTCTTTAAAATAATCTTCAAAATACATACCGCATACACTGCCATTTAGATACTAGGTACAGCTGAGTTCAGGTTCAGAGCTGTTATTCAATTATAGTGCAGGGACTAAATTCTAAGACTTTGTAGGCAGCACTTGCTTTGCCCCACAATTCTACGACTCAACAGATGACGTTGATTAAAATGTTAAAATAGAAACCCTTAAAATCAGTGGCTGGTTTGTGTTTTACAGTCAAAAAAGAATGAGTATTGAAAATGTTAGCACGTTGGAGGAAAAAACCAACTGTTTCCTAAAGGGCACAGTGACCTCCTGAGTAAAGTCAGAAGGGGTCTTCATGACCACACAGTACACTTCCTCTGAAATAGTTTGGGCTTGATCAGATCTGGCTTTTGCTTCATTAGCAGTTTTTAGTTGCCATCAAGTTGATTCTAAATCATAGCAACCCTGTATATCTTCAGGGGAGCAGAAAACCTCAAAGCCTTCTCCATTAGGATTGGGTATGAACTGCTGACTTTGCAGTTAGCATCCCAATGCCTTACTCAAAGTGCCACCAGGGCTCCTTAAAGCAGGAGCAGATGCAGTTGCTTAAAAAAATTAAACAAATGAACACATCAGACAAGGGACTCATTTCTAAAATATATAGGAAACTACAACACCTCTACAAGAAAAAGACAAAAATAAAACAAGTGGATCTATCGATTCAATGTCTAAGTATCTGAGCAAAAGAAAAGAAAGCACATGCCCATGTCAGGACTTGGGCACAAATGAACACAGCAATTCCAATCTCCTTCTTCTTCTATCATCTCAGTGTTCACTTTACTGAAAAATAAAAGCAAACCAGAAAAGCCTCCACTCTTCCTCAAATGCAGGATTCAGGTCCACTAAGGGATATGAATATACAAAAAAAAAATTTGTTTTTTCAGTGAGGATCCTAGATATAAGCATAGTTAATTCAGTTTACACCCTACTGTGTGTGAGCCCACAGAACTACGTCAACTCCCCTTACTCATGATAACACCATGTGTTTTAGAACAGAACCATGCTCCATGTGGTTTTTCAATAGCTGAATTTTGGGAAGTAGGAGCCTCTATGTGGTTTACATAGAGGTTACAGTTTACAGCAAAACATGTAACCTTTTGTACCACTACATATCTAATTCCTGTTTCTTTGTGTAGGTGTGTGAAAATGCAGGTATCCAATGTTTTCAATGCCATGGGCAAAGATTGGTTACTCTTCTAATATAATTATTTGATCCCAATACAGGATGTAGAAAACATTTTTAAATCCCCCCAGTAACAAGCTATTACTGGAATATTTTCAAGTAAAAATATTTGTTTTCTTCTAAAAACAAAAAGCATCTCCCTAAAAACCTGGAAGACTTTAAAAATTAACAATGCTGATGTGTGAAACAATGGCCTGGGGTGGTCCCTGACCTCTAACTTCATCTGGGGAAGCACAATTGAAATTAGCAGCCTAAGGAAGGTTCCCAGAAGGCAGACTGGCCTCTACCCCAACAACTTTTTACTCATTCTGACACCTCACACCGCATTCCCTACTTCTCTTCTTGGTTCTATAGTTCATTGCAATGCCACACAGAACTCACAGATCAGACTCAGACTCAGAACTGTGAGTTTATTAGGGAAGTTGGTGGTGTTGGGTGCCTTTGAGTCAGCTCTGACTCACACTAACCCTTTGTAGAAGAGAAATGAAACACTGCCAAATCTGGCATTCTACTTACAACTGTTGTGTCTGAGTGCACTGTTGAAACTACTGTATCAAACCATCCTGTTGGGGTCTTCCTCTTTTTTTTTTTTTTTCACTGACTCATTGCTTTACAAAACATGATGTCCTTTTCCAGAGACTGGTCTTCTCCTGAAAACATGGTAAAGTACCTAACACAAAGTCCTGCCATCAAATCTAAAGAGAATTATATTATGGCTAAACTTATTTCAAAGGAGCTCTGGTAGCGTAGTGGTTACGACTTGGGCTGCGAACCTTAAGGTAAGCGGTTCGAAACTACCAGCTGCTCCGCGGGAGAAAGATGAGGCTTTCTACTCCCGTAAAGATTTACACCCTCGGAAACCCTGTACAGGGTCGCTA